TTGTATTGTTCGATACATATGCGTACCGAACCGAAAGCACTGTATCGAACGGTTCAATATCGATACGAGTATCGTTGCAGCCCTACTAGCTACATCCATCTTTGTTACTGCCTGTGGATTTACCTTAAATAGCCTGGCAGAGTCTCCAAGCTGAGCGCCTTTGTGATTTCTAAGTTATTAAAGGACCAACGTGTCTCGATACGACTGGAAAGAAGCACAACCGGTCAGCACTGAAACATGCATGTTGATGGTGCAACATCCAGTTCTTTTCAGATAGTTTTCTACATCAGAGGCAGCCGTCGTGCTTGTTTAAGTGTTTGTCTCCACTGTGTAATACGAACATCAAACAGGCCTCGTGTGAAATGAACATCTTCAGGATTTTGGTAACTTTATCTCAGATCTTTAAGTTCAACCAGAGCAGCTTCACAAGCTTCGTTGCTGTTTAGTAAAAGTAGTTCCCAAACTACACGTTGGAGCAACAATTACAGCCTTCATGGAAAATATGGACCAGACTTCTGCAGCTTCATAAAGTCTCGTCGCCTTTTTTTTGTCTTTTTCTCGATTGCACTAATTGCATCATACTTTTAAAGGAGAGCTTAAAGAATATTCCTGATATTTGTTAATAATTAATATCATTTTATTCTTTGCTTTGAATTTGTTCTGCAAAACATTTCAGGGTGAGAATCCACCGCACACGTGGCCGATCAAAGTTGTGTAGTGACAGCAGCTCGTTAGAAGCTGCTTTGTTTACAGAGTAACAGCCTAAACGTGCTCCTGGTGATGATGATGATGATGATAATGATGATGATGTCTGCTGTCTGCCTTCCAGGTGATACATGGACAGAGACCCTGGCTTATGTGATGTTCTGGGGAGCTGCAAGTGCAATTACAGCCACGATCATCCTGTTTAACGGCCAAGACTTTGTGGACGCCCCCAAGTTGGTTCACAAGGAGAAGATGGACTAAGTGTGTGTGTGAGGATGAGCTGGGTCCGGCGGGCTCGTATACCTCTTCATCTTCACCTTCGGCAGGTCTGGAGTCCAGGCTGACCTGCCGCCGCCGTGTTGGACTTTCATACAAAACTGTCTTCTGTCTGCAGCACATGTGACCACCTTCAGTTGTACTGCACACACTGCGTACCCTGCTCTTCATCTATTTTCGTTTCCCTCGGTCCCCGGGCTTTAGTTCGCCGTTGGTTTAGCTTGGTTTTGTTGGTGTTGGTTGTTTCCATGACTACACTACCACTGTGTTTCCCTTTGTTTGTGCTTTCTCTCCCGTACGTTAGCTTCAGCAGTCGAGGCGATGAAACATGCAGATATTAAAACCTATGTTGTATTGCAATGAAAAGTATGCACTCTGGAAGTTTTGAATGTAACGAGCCTTACTTGTGTATTAATCTATAACTATGTGGCCGATCTGTCTTCCTATGAGGCGACCTTAGAAAAGCGTCGGTGACCTTGTTCTCTGTGGAAGCACAAGCTGTGGCCGCACACCTGTAACACAGCCGTAAACGTTTGGCTTCAGTGTTACAGGCTTGCTCCATTTCAGCTTCATACAGGGTCAAGAATGAGGGTCTCACCTGAGCCACCTGCAGGTGAGCACAGCACACTACAGCGTGTTATGTGTGATGGCACGATGTCATCGTTGGGTTTGGGCCTCCATGGCTGAGGCTCGGTGATCAAACGTGTCCTCGGTAGCTTAAACGAATGCCAGGAACCAAAGTTGGACGGTAACCAGGCGGTCGTGTTGTCCTCTCCACCTGCAGTGGTCTCAGGTTGACCTGCAGCTGCATCGCTGTTGCAGGTTTTCCGAGTTGGTTCTGGATGTAGCGGAAAAATGACGACCTTTTCCCAAACGCTGTCAGGTGTGACAGTAACCTTCTTACTGTAGTTGGAGAATACCAAATAATTTAGTTAAAACGTTCTGTGGATTTATTCTTATGGTGCAGCTTTCTTGGTCATTAACCCAGGACGCCATCTTGAACCAGTCGTTACCTTGGTTACGGTCCTCGTTCGTTCGAGATGAGGGTCACGCCTCATCATGTGTCCACGACCCGAGATCACTCGTGTAGCTGCTCAAATGTTCGTCTAGCTGCTTCTTCACCAGCTCATACAGTATGCAACCAGGACGTTTGTGTTAGCACAGACGATGGTTTGATCTGGACGCTGCAGCTCTGACGCCCTGCAGCGATCTGACGCATCCGTACTTCTGTCCAACAGTGGAGTCGGTGACAGCGGCTCAACGTGTGGTTTGTGTGTTTTCACGGCTCTGCAGCGAGTCGCGCTCGTTTTCTTTATTTCATGTTTCAGAAAAATGCGACAAACACGTTTCAGAAACATTTGTCACGTTAGGACGAAATAACAAGATTCTCTCTTCTGATCTTTAACACTCTGAGTACGCACATCGTCTCCACACAGACGATCTCTGTGAAGTACAGCTGACTGTGTTTATGTCTGACTGTTGCTGATAATCGTCACATGTTAGGAGCTGGGAGTGTACGACTATAAACAACACGTCTCTGTTTGTGGTGGAAAATGATCTCGTGCTTCTTCAGCACTCTCCTTCCAGGACCAGACTTTATCTTTGTTAATAAACTGAACACGCAGATGTTACAGCGCCTCTTCTGGAGTTTCATTTATCTTTGTGAAATAAAAGGAAAGCAGGGACACATGGGACGCTTCGTACGGGAGCTGAGCTGGTGTCCTGCTCTGTTCCACATTAGCATCCGATCAGGTGAAAGTACTTCTTACTGAGGGTTTTAGGACCAGACTCAGTGTCTGTTTAAAAAAACATCCTTTATGGTTCATTTACTCCGTTTACGTTTGTTGGGGCCTCCGTCGTTTAGAAATGGAGCTCACAGATGATTGAAGATGAAATCAGCAGCCTGTAAAAAGGTTCTACGTTTGTCAGCAACAGGAAATAGTTCGTGGGCCGTGAAGGCCGATGGCTGTGGGGACGCTGTGTTTGAGCAGAAATACATGTGTGGAGGGACATAAACAATATCAGGCCAGTTTCACACAATCTGATAAAAATAAAAGTCAAATAGGTTACAGTACAGATGTGTCAGGAAAGTCATCTCTATAATACTTATTAAAAATAAAGGGTGAATAAAGTGCACCGTGTTTGTCCTCACAGCTGTTTTTATTTCTGTTGTGGAGCAAAATGAAAACATTTATAAGGTCATGGCTGACTGCGTTAAATTATTCCACTGATGTGATTTTTAATGAAAAGTGTTAGTTATGGATCATGGACCATCAAATGTAGACCAACAGATGGTTTCAATGATTTCTCTGCATTGTTGATTTGACTGATGTTAGCAGAACGTAATGGGAGAAATCCCCTCTGACAGGGAAACCATGAATAATAACGTTAGCTTCTGTTTTTATCTCATTTATACCCTTTAAATAAATGCATCGTTCAGCTGTGCCATTAAAAAACAGATTTATGGATCGTACAGAAGAGGACTCAAATATTAAGCTGGAGTTATTCCTGTTGTTTCTGCTGGCAGTGAAAACCAACATCACACTGCCCAGTGTCTGTGGGTCAGTCAGGGTCATCTTAGGAGCTTGGAACAGAAGTAGAGAGTCTGTGAAGATGTTTCAGTGCTCATCCGAGAGGAATATTAACTCCCGGTGGGGGGGGGCTTTGGTTCTGAGGGATCACTGACACACTATTGACCATTGAGTCATCACATGAGCCATGGTGTGGGAACAAAGGCGTGGGTCATTATGTCACTGGGGAAAGGGGATGACGTCACAGCGAGACCTCGCCCTCTCATGTGACGTCCTGAGATCACCTGAGGCTCGGCGAGCTGAAGCTCCTGGATGCAGTTCCCCTTCTTCTTTCAGCCTCTGAAGACACTGACCAGGAATCTGTTTCCACCGGTTTAAGGAAGGTTTCTCAATATAAGGCCTCTAGATGAACCAGTCAATGATGGGGAGGCATTTTTATCATAGCTGTGTCCAGATTCAGGGGCTGGAAAGTTGGAACTAGCAGGAAGGTAGGCGTTAGCATTCGAGATTCTTTATCTCATGCATAGTTCTACAAGTACAACACGCAGTGAAATGTATCCTGACACGCTCGACTGTGCAGAGGGGGAGAAGAACATTATATACAGTAAGTGGATATATACACACGTATTCATGTTGTGGTTTACGATCGGATGGTTTGGGGATAGAAGCTCCTCTTGAGTCTCTGTCTTTGCCCGATGATGCAGAACTTTCTGCTGGATTGCAGAAGTTGGAACAGATTGATGCCAGGATGGGACGGGTCCTTCGGGGGGGGGGCACTCCTGCTCAGGGGTTAGGCTAACCCTGAACCCTAATGAGGGATTTAATAATATAGATCAATCATTATTTGCTGATGATGGAGTCGTTTGGATGATTTTACAGAGAGTAGATTAGCTGTTTAATCTCAGATTGTATGGGAATGAAATGGAAAAGATTGATTGCTTTAGAAATGTAGGTATGTGGTTTGATAAAAGGCTCACATGGACAACACATGTTGGGGAAATAACTGAGAAATGTAAAAAGGTTTTGGATATTTTAAGATGTTTAAAAGGCAGCGAGTGGGTGCAGATAACACAGCATCAAAAGCTTTATATAAAGATTTCATTAGCTCAGTTCTGCTTCATGGCTCAGCGGCTAAAACATCGTCAAATAACTTGGATAAAATTCAGTGTCGAGCGCTGAGGTTGTGTTGTGGGGCCATTAAAACTACACCAGTGTCCACACTGCACGTTGGAGTGGGTGAACAACCATTAGAAATCAGAAGACGTGAAATAGCTTTAACTTACTGGGCAAAGTTAAAGGGACACAGTGAAAATCATAAAGCTCAGAATATAATTAAACCTTGTTTAAGAAAAAGTAAAAAAGTGAACGAATAAGACGTTTTGGTTGGATTATAGGGGAAAAATAAAGGAGACAGGAATTAGTAACAAACATTAGTCCAGCAGAACCATTTTCAATTTTACTGCCATGGATATATGACCAAACAACAACTGATTTCATTCATTACTCAAAGAGCCAGGTATGTGATCATATAAGGGAAAAGTACTCAGAACATGTGGACAGACATGTACACTGATGCAGCATAATTGTTAGATAATAAAGTGGGTGTTGTGTTTGTTATTCCAGAAACAAGCTTTGTGGTGAATAAAAGAATTACTGATGTTTATACTGGAGAACTGTAGCAGTGTTGATCACTGCAAACTGGGTGGAGCCGGCACCAGTAGGAAGTATTTGATTTGCTCGGGCTCTGGTAGCGCACTACTGAGTATATGTCATGTGTTTGGATTCTAGACACGATGTTTATGGATTCCTGAACATATCGTGCAGATGGAAAGAGGCCGGTAAGTTTGCAAAAGGTGCAACGAGAAGAAGTCATGTAGATATAAAATATAGTAGAAATTAGGTTAAAGGACGCGTGTCAGGCACAAGGGGACAGAGAAGGACAAGGTAGATATTATTATGGTATACAGAGCTGGGCACTGTAGAAGTCATAACAGTAAGAGAGAGGACGACATGATCTCAAAAGTAAGATTTGGTCATACAGGTTTAAATAACTCTAAAAAAGATGAATAAGCACGAGACGGGAAGTGTGAAACGCATGTAACGTTAGAATGTGCTCAATACTCTGAGGTACAGAAAAATAAAATCAATCAAGTGTCAGATAAATATTACAGAGGAGTCCAGGTGACAGGGACACAGACACTGTGTTGGAGGGAAGAGTGCTATGAACTTAAAAGCCGCTCAAAAGAAAAAGGACGTTATAGAGACCGATTGCATCCGGATGCAAAGAGACGTACTTGCAGAAAATAGCGTGCATTGGAAATGTGGACCCGTATGAAATAACAGCAGTGGAGTAGAGACCCCAGAGACCAACCGCCGTTGACGTAGCCTGATCTATTCTCGTACCTGTGGAGTCAGCGCGTACACGGCGAACCAGTTTCACAATTATAAATCTCTGGACGCACACATCCACCAATGATCGGGCACAAGATTTGGCTTTTTTTAAGCCTCCACGTTGTGAGTACGCCGTCATCCAAACAAAGGTAAGTCAGCTCGAGTACTGCGGGTAAAATGTGTTTGATTTCCCTGCAAACATTCAGATTAGTGCAGCATAAATTCATCCATGAGGGGGAACTACAGTGAGAACATGTGGAGGCTGTTAGAGGGAAAACAGTGAGTTCAGTGCATTGATGTGACATTGTCCTGAAGGATTTAGTTATTCTTTATGGTTAAAGAAATTGCAATAATTTATTAATGTTTATTATAAATAATCCTAATTACACATCTTGCTTCCATATTTGTCTCTTGTGTCACTAAAAATACATTTTATTTTAGTTTTATACATCGATTAATGACCTGCAGAATCTCCTTATCAAATTAAGTGATTCATATTTGTCACTTTATGCTTTCTCCATCTCTAAAGTGATGACATCCTTGCATTACATACTTTAGGTTCATTTTCTGCAGGTTTCTGACAGAGAACAGGCAGATTTACACTTTAACATGCAGCCTTCTATAGATGGACACATAAAGAAATGAAAAATTACATGTATGTGCTAACTTTCTAAACACTTTGTTACATTTATGATAAAGTAGATTAAACACATTTATGTCGGCCTTGGCTCATAGTTCTTGTCTTTAAATTAACTTTGTGTGT